CCACTGCCGCTGCTGCGGCTGCGGCTGCTGCTGCTGCTGCTGCTGCTGCTGCTGCTGCTGCTGCTGCTGCTGCTGCTGCTGCTGCTGTTCTTATCGTGGACGATGGACATTTGGTTTGGGGAGTTTGGAGGGCCTTTGAACCCTGGATTTGTGGCAGTGGCATGCTGAGGCAGGGAGATTTGTTTAAGGGCACATACGGGCTCGGCAGTTTGCTTGCTGAAGTTCCTACGCGATCCCCCGCTCGATAAATCTGGAGCTCAGCCGGGCTGAACGTAAGAAAGGCTCCACTGAAGCCCCCCAAAAGCTGAATGGTCGAAGATGCGTGCGATCATCAGCGGGGTGTGATTCGGGGAGTTTGCAAACTATCAGCCAACGCCTTCTCTCGCTTTAAATAACCCTCAACCCATTGGCCCCTTTTAACCCTATAAACCCTAAACTCCCTAAACCCTTATTGGTCTTGTGGGCAGGTGCCCTTCGTCGGAAACGACTCTCCGAGCGGTTCCGGGTTTGGCGCGACCTTTACTGCCCTGTGTACCAGTATTGTCCAGTATATATACGTACAGATAGAGTAGTACGGCATAGTAATAGTACTAGTATAGCATAAGACAGCATAGAACAGTACACAGTACAGTATAGTTTTGTACAGTATAGTATCGCATTGCATAGCATCGCAAAGCATAGTATAGTATAGAGCCCGCAAGTCTCTGCCCTAAGCCTAGAACCTGTCCTGCTTGTCTCCGAAAGCATCGGTTGGATCCAGCCACCCTCCGAAAGGCTTAGAGTTTGTATAGGAGGAATCAGATGAATACTGAATACCTTCAAACCCTAAACCCTAAACCCTAAACCCTAAACCCCAAACCCTAAACCCTAAACCCTAAACCCTAAACCCTAAACCCGAAGATGGCTCTCCTGCTGCCTTGCAGTCTTAAGATCCAGACCGCCTAGGCCCCACGCTGCGAGAATGAAAACGGCTCGTTGTAACAGTTCCGGTGCAGGGCCAGGGCCAAGTTCAGGCAGCTACACGGTTTAGGGTTTAGGGTTTAGGGTTTAGGGTTTTCAAAGTTTAGGGTTTAGGATGGTCATTGTGCGTTGGATGTCGGCTTGTTCATTTCGTCATCGACATGTCTCATGGGAAATTGTCCGCCCGCTGCTCCAAAACATTGCGCTTGAAACAGTCCCGGCCATGCAGTATGGAACCGTGCGTTGCACGTAGACGTAGCAGACGCAATCCTATACCCGTAACTGGTTCGCGGCACTCCTTCCTCCAATCTACACAGTTGCTCACCTTGTCAGAACCTGAATGCCGCACGCCCCCTTCACACCTCCACCGCGCCACTTCCCCGTCCGGCTTGTGAACGTTATGATGGGGGCTACCAAGTTCAAAGGGCCAATGCACCGCTGGTACCCCGAAACGCCGCACTTCTTTCTTGACTTATAGCCGCTTGTACACTTCCGGGCGAGGGCACTGGAGAACTCCATATCTTAATTCCCCCCCTCCATGTCTTGCAAGCCTTATCAGGAAGTCCACTAGAGACCCGAGAAGCCCCAGCAGATCGGTCGCATGTTGGATGTCAGGGAGCAGCTACTCTGCACAAAAGCAAGAGCCCGAAGCGCTCGGCGGGGCAGCTGTGTCAGTTCGGACGGGGCGGGGCTCCGCGGTCACGGCCGCGTGGAGCGGTTCGGGAGCCATGCGCCTTGGCAATGTTGTGCCACACATAGAGTTGCTGGAGCCCATTGTGTCTGAACCATTGTCATTCAGACCTCAACCCTTTTGGCCTTTCACTATCTTTCCCGATGGTTGGGTTTGTTGCTTATCTGTCAAGCATCATAGCATTGGACAGATAAATGATAGTTCCAGTGATGCAGTTCCATGTGCAGCGGCGGAAGCAAGAAGCTGCATGAGCAGTTGCGGGTGGTAGCACGCAAGTATGAGCAGCATCGGCAAGTGAGGAGCATTGTGAAAGCAATATGAGTAAAGGATGTAACGGAAACTGTGGCATTTGAGCAACCGATGTAACGGAAACTATGGAGGGCGTATGTAATGTTTTTTCTTTTCTGTCATTTTCTGTCGCAACCTTTCTTGGACTTTCCGTTGTGTGTTCCTGGCGGTTTGGGCTGCGCATCCGTGTGGCTTGAGCTCAACCTTCAACGCCTCCAGACAGAGGGTTTTGGAGAACTGATGCAGTCCCAGCCGAGGAACATATTTCGACTAGCCGGCGACATGCGACGGGCTTGGTGATGTTGACTGTGAGGGGCCGCACAGCTATGAGCTCAATGTTAGCATGGTGTTCTCCACAATGACCAATGATGCCGCCCTGGTCTTGAGAGTCTGACTAACTTGGGCTCCAGGTATCCACATCACATGTCTCCAACTCTAAGTCAAGTAAGTTCTTGAAGCTGCACTGAACTCTACTTTGTAATGTCTTGGCTATGCCATGGCATTCTAGTCCGACTTCTCATAGACTGGCACTTTCTGGAATTCATTGGGTTTATGATGTGCAGATCTCCCACTGCCCAGAAGATATCAGAAGGAATAGATGCGAACAGCAGTACTATTGTGCTCAATTGTGCTGATTGTTTGGAATGATCGGCTTCTTCAATGCGCTGTTCGGGGAATGTGTCGTTGTTCAGGAAAGCTCCCACCTGCTGAATGTGTCTGCGAACATCTGCAAAACCTCTTGTAGGCCTTATTTGGATTGATCTACAAATGCTTTTGCCACAATCTAGACCTCGAATCCCGAAAAACTCGCAAGGTGTGTACATCCTGAACTCCAAAGCTTTCTGCCTAGACCGTAAAAAGAAATGCACACAACCCTCAATGTGGGCTTAAGCTCTGATGCTGGGATGCAGGGCTGTTTTGTTTGCTTCCTTGACTCTTTAAGTCTTTAGGTGCGGGGTTTGGATGTATAGCTTAATTACAGTAATTACAGTAATTGCACAGTGCCTCTAGGCATCATGGAGGTGCCAAAGTGGGATTGGGCACGATAGCACATCCAGCATCGAGGTGATGGCTGCCTGCACACGATAGGGCAGTAACCTTAGGTTTTGGGGTTTAGGGTTTGGGGTTTAGGGTTTGGGGTGTATAGTAGGGTTTAGGGTTTCAGGGTACCTTTAGAAAAGAATGGGCAGGGCACATTTCTCGACGAAGGCTCCACCTCACCAGCATCATGCTGCTGCTGTGGACTCTTGACATGATGAAGAGGATGATCTACATGCTTTTGCTTGCGTCTATGGAATCAGGAATAATCAGCATATATAAGTTGCATAAGCCTTACGTCGAACAGGATCAAGGATTTCAGGGCGAGCTTCAGCCTTGTTCCTGCGACAAAAGGCCGGAAAACGATCTCGTTTAGGCTGAAGAGATGAAGCAGTCCTTCCTAAGCAGTTTCGCCGGACGTGTGTTTTCTGGGCACTTCCCAATGGTTTCTTTCCCAAGCTGGGCAGCTTAGGGTCCCTTCTTTCAGCTTCCACCAATCTAGGTCTCCATCTTAGCACATTACTTACAATGCTTGAGAATTTCAAGGCTTGCAGGGTGCATTTAATTAGATATGGGCCCCTCGGCCCTTGCAGCCAAGGAAGCTGCACAAGAGCAAGAGCTGCGTGGGCGTTTCTTGCAGGATGCAGGACATGAGGTTTCCAAGCCTGAGCAGTCCCTGCCACTAGAGCTTCTGCACATTCCTATATCCCCCTTGGGACTTATTTTCTATTTTTGTTGATATAAAACCAAAGAGGATATCAAAATATTTTTTAATGATTCTAAGGGGAGTATAGATTCCACCAAGCGTCAACCACACTTAAGGCAACTGTTTGCATGAAATTGCAAGTGCAGGAGATGTACGCCATCGTGTTCATATTTCGGTACCTGGATCTGCTGTGGAGCTTCATTTCAGTGTCTCAGCTGCACTAAGCTGCACTTGCAACTTGACTCAGTGGCGGTCCTGTGAGCTTGTTTCCAGAAGCCCACGCCGGGTTATGGGAATCCACAACCTGATGTGTAGTTCTCCAATGCAACGGCTCCTTGAAATGCGTGACAGCCATGGGCTGTTGATCGAGATTTGTATGGGTGACTTCTGCATTTTGGTTCGTAGCGTTCGGACTCAGGGCAGTGGGACAGCTGCCAGGTATACAACACTGTCATGAAGGTAGTGTTCATCACCGCCACGACACTTGGACTCGGACAACGAATGATATGCGATTGGACGCCGGTAGGGCACCGTCCCCTTACCTACGTATCAATGCCCCGTTCTTGGACCCCGGTTTCTGAAGATTTGCTTCGGCATTGTCTTGTGCGGCGTTGTTTGTCTGCTTGTGGTGAGGAATGATGCCTGCTGTAAGCAAGGAAGCAGAGAATGCTCTCAGAACACCTCGGCAGTGTTTCCCGACTGTACCCAGCCGGCTGAGCACAATTGGATCCCCCAAACAGAATCGTAAGGTGTAGGCCCGGAGTCTGTGTTGGCAAGGATCTACTTGATTTACTTGATGCGGGTGAAGCCGCCCATCTCCCAGACATACGAAAGGACGCCCGGCTTCTCATGCTTCTCCACTCCCTGGAAATGGGGTTCTGAGAGGGTTTCAGAGGTAATCGTTTACTAGCTTAGTACTAACTTACACGAAGCTGACACCAAGCAGTACCTTATGAGGGTTGTACGTCGGGGTGTGAGTGACGTGAGTACGGTGCAGGACCGACTTGCCGCCTGTCCCAATCCCTCCATCTAACAATACGCCCTCCGAGATGTTGCAAACAAGGTGCAAACTCCAGTCCGACTTACCAGGACCTTCGACCAACTGCAACGCACCAACCGCAACAACAACAGCAACAACAAAAACATCAAGCACTGTGCCTACCTCACCTCCATCAACTCCCATCGCACTATACATAGAAAAAAGTGGTGCAGCTTCTCGCCCTCCCTCTTGCCATTCTCACCGTGCTCGGACAATGCCGGCCGGCAGCACCCGCCTCAGGTGCCTGCAGAGCGACGGACATCATTGCGCGTCCACCCATGCAAATGCGGTCCAGCCAACGACCAGCTCGAACGTCAGCCTCCCTACTTCACAGGGCCCTGCACAGCATCATCAACATCATCATCATCATCATCATCATCATCATGGCAGCGTTCACTCCCAATGATGATCTCGAGCCCCTCCTTGCCACACGAAAGTCATTCATGCTCTTGCTTGCGGACAAGCTTTGTGTATATACCTTGTCCTTGTCCTGGAGAGCCTCTTATTTCAAAACGTGAACATCTCGAGCGATACGGCAGAAAGAACACTACAAGTTCACCCTTTAAACCCACTTCGCCCCGAATTTAAACCATAGGAACCTCACGCGAAAGATTGTACAAAGAAATTACCAACGTCTCTTACCGCAGAAGTTCCCTTCCCAGCATTTACCTTTTTTCGATCTCTGGCACCTTCGTTACTAGTTTCGTCCATGCGCTTGCAGTGATTTGCAACAAAGAGCATGCTTTGGGATCTTGTCATTCGGCCTGAAAAGCTTCGTCCCCAGGAGTACAGACAAGTTCCAGTACGAGATTTACCTCCTGGGGCCATGCCTACTCCTGGGCATCCTTTGCACCGAGGAATACACGCTGCCAGAGGCGACGGCTCTTTGGGAGCGATTGCTTGCAGAGGGGATTTCAAGGCCGAGCATCCCCTTCTCCGTTTTATAACACGCTGAAGCTGGAGCCCTGACCTTCCGGCAAGATCCGTCGCCAACCATGAAGCCGGAACCCCAGGAATCAGCATTACCGCGTCGAAGCCCTGAACCCTAAACCCTCAGAGCCTCAGACAACTCCCATGTGTAGAGCACGGTCTAGACCACGCCAATCTCAAGAACTAAACCAGAACCCAAGCCTGATTTCACCCTAACCAATTGCGCTCTTGAAGCCTTGACACTCAAACCAAACCCTGAACCCACTAAAGGCAATCCCACACGCTGCAAGACTAAACCCTATAGATCTTACGCTCTGAGGCCTGACCGGCATCAACCCTGAAGCCGTAAAACCAAATGCTAAACGACGTGCCTTTCGGGGCGCTTGAAAATGCATCTTAGATTGGTTTAGGGTTTAGGGTGTAGGGTTTAGGATTTAGGGTTTGGAAAATGTGCCACTGGGTGCCTTGTGTTTTGCAAGCCAAGTAGGGATCGCCATTGCGTTACAACGTGATCCCGTTTGAAGCACTGTCCACATGTTCTTTGACGTTATCGATGCTACAAACTTCCGACGCGGGCCGACACAGCTTCTCGGAGAAACCCTAAACCTTAAACCCAAAACCCTAAACCCTAAACAAAGCTGGCGAATGGCTTCCAAACGATAAAATTTCGGAGCCTTGAGAGCTGAGATGCGTTTCTGGGTGCCTGAGCAACAACCAGACCCCCTTTTTTTAAACAAAAGTTCGACATAGAAGAGATGCGAGAAGGTTGCTCCTTGGAGCTGTAAGTTTCGGAGTCTGGAGTTTCAGGCCGGAAGTCCGGGGCATGAATTCTTCTACTCGTATACGGCCTAAGACTTCAGGAGGCTTGCTAGGATGCCCAGTAGTACCCTTAAGCCTAGGGTACAGGCAGCCTAGCTTGTAGTTCGTTTGGGCTGACGAGGGGGCAAGTGAAGCGAAAGAGCACGTGTAGACGCTGGAGCCCTGCAGCCTTGCAGATCCTTTGGACCACCTCCATCTGGTTGGAGTCCGTAGCCATCGTGCCGCAGCTGGTGCTGCTGCAGCAGATGCGGGAGGTGCCATTGTGAAAATAGATATCCTGCAGTATCCTCAGGAACCCAGGGATTTGCTACGTGGGGGTTTGCGGGTACCTTATTGGGGTCCTGATTATAAGGGGATCCGACTATTTGGGTGTCTAGATTAGGGTCGCTGATTATCGTAAACCCCCATGTCAAGGAGGTATACGTGACGGACTGATTCCCTTGTCCAGGGGTGGCCTTGTTGCATTCGAGTGCGGTGTGCTTGCCACATCGCCTCCTAACAACACCCAAAGCCCGCAAGCAAAGAGCCCCCCGCCCCCCGCCCCCAACGAAACAGCAGGTGGAGAACTTGACGTCCCAATTCGTGGCCACCATGGGCGCGTGATCCCGGGGACGAGTTTTTGACGACCACGGATCTAAGAATCTAAGATTGATATTCATGGCTTGACAAACGAAGCCGCCGACCCACGACTTCTCACATGATCTACAGCAGCAACTGAGTCATGATACCATGCAGCTGCGTGTAAATGGCCTCTGAACCTGAAACAGGCGCGGGCGTCACTTGAATCGAGGAGAACCCACCTCCCGAGAGCCAGGTACCGGGCCTTCTACATTCTCAACTGGATCTACCGCTACTTCGTCGGGAGCCGAGGGTTGCAGAGGGGCTGCAGCATTGATTCTTTGGGCCAGAGTAGATTGCAACTGGACACACAGATGCGCCCTCTACTCAAATATCCCAACAAAGCTGACACCCTCAATTCTTGACTTTTTCATCAAGACAGGCGATGAAACTTGCATATCAATCGACGCTGAAAATCCAAAGGCATGGCAACTTATAGCCTTTCAGGTCGTAGAAAACATGTTGCTAATGAGCCCTGGAGCCCAGCGCGAGCCCTTGACTTCTCCTAACCCTTGAAGGTGAAATCCTGAAACTCCGGATCCATCCGGATCCACGGTTGCAGTGGGTATCCTTCAAATACTGAAGAGTGGTTACATCAATCCGGGTTCTCAAGCACTGAATCTTGTCAGCCATTTACGCAGTTCTACGCTCTCAACCTCCCAAAACACGAGGCCGATGACTACGTCAACTGGGTGGGCTGGGTTGGCGGCTTGGTCCAGACAGCTCCCCGGCTGAATCACCTTGATGCCGCATGCTAGTCTTCCTGAAGGGAGCTTGCCACCACAAGTCCCTTCTTCAATTTTTTGGGACTTTGAACTGCTGCAACCTGAGACGTCTCGACTGCGGTGTTACAGTGCAGTTGACGAGCCGTGCTCCTTCCGAACCCGAAGCCCCGGTTGGTTTTGCCCGAGCCTTTCGCTTCTGTCACCGTTCAGATGCATGGATGGTGTAATCGCTCCACTTTCTATATATCCTATGTGGCATGGACCTTTAGGTATTATGTGAGGTTTTGTCCCTCTTTCCCTATTAAAAGCCATGAAATGCTCTATGCCTGTAGCACGTCAGTGTCGGGTTTTGGCTTAGCAAAAACTCATTCAGCCTTGGAACCAACTGGCAGGGGGCCTTTCTCTGTTTCAGAAGAGAGACGAGGGAACAAAATGGCAAGTAATCTCCCTACCTTCTTTTGCTCTTCTTTAGCCTCTGTCGCTTTCTCACAAGTCCAACTATAGAAGAATAAACCGCCGGAAAACTGAAAAGAATAGAAAGGGATAGATAAAAGAAGGAGGGGCGCCGCTCCTGTTTTCAACACCTTCTTCATTTCTCTCCTTTCTTCATCTTTTTCTTTGCTTCTTCTTTTCTGACAATGGAAAGGGGCGGAATGAAAGAGAAAGAGGCTGACAGGCACAGATGGGCCCCCTTGGTGTCCGTTCCCTTATCTTGTCGTGTTTTCCCAGAGAGTTGTGGACAGACAGAGTGGGCCCTTTACCCACCTCTCCTTTCCTGTTCTTTCCTGCGCTCTCGTACAGAAAGGGAAGAAAAGGGATAAAGGAGAAAGCAGGAACAAAAAGGGCTCCTCTCTTCCTTGCTGCTTTGTAGTAAACCTACTCTGATTAGAAATGTCAGCAGAAGGGAGCGCCGGGGGGTGCCTTCCTTTCCCAGTCTTTCTTCCCTCTTTCCTTTATCAGTTGGAGGGAGAGAATGTGAGAATGAGAGAATCAACGCGAAAGAGAGAGGAAAGAGAGAGAAAGACAATGAAGAGGAAGGCGAGCAACCATTTCAAGGATTGTAACGAGTTTAATCACATGAAGATCCAAGATGCCGTTTGCGCATCTCCCAGTAGCTGTCCTTCATGTTCCATCATTGAAAAGTGTGGCAACTTCTGTTGCTTTCCTTTGTAGCTCACCCTCCTCCTCGTCTTGCAGTTCTACAAGGCATGCCGCCCATAAAAGAAAAGAGAGAGAGAGAGAGATAGAGAGAGAGAGAGAGAGAGTGAGAGAGATATGGAGACAGAGCGATCGAGCGAACCGGAAGAAGAAAGGAACAAGGTAGGAGGACACGCAAACTCCTCTTCTCTCTTCTCTTCTTGTCTTTCTCTTTAGCAAAAACTGACTGGGAGCATAAGCTTTTCAAAAATTGTTGGGGGACTGTGCTTGCGATTTGTCTTTTGGGAGCTTTTTGTGTCAAAATCTCAGGGACAGTGCTTGCGTTTTGTCTTTTGGGAGCAACTTTTTCAAAATCTTAGGGACGGTGCTTGCGATTTGTCTTTTGGGAGCACAGAATTATTTAACAATCGTAGGTCTTCGGCCTGCTTTCTTTCAAGGTTTTGGTACCCTCAGAAGTAGGCGTGAGTGAGGTCTTCTTTCCATTTGCAATGTGTGTCTTCTCGCGTCGCCCTCAGAAGTAAGTGTGAGGCGTCTACTGTTTTGCATAGCATTTGGTGTGGTCACGCTATCTAGGTTTCCAAAACATGGAGGTCTCCGGTGTGGGCGTCCTTTTAAGGTGGGTCTTGTTACATAAAAAGAAGAAAAGGACACCCTAATTTTGGAACATGTAACAGCAGGTCTTTCTTTTATTTCCTCTTGCATAGAAAATGAGACGAAAGGAAGGCCACAGTGGAAAAAGGGAGCGCCTTTCCTTCAAGGTTTGCAAAACATCGGAGTCTCTGGCGCGGGTGTTCTTTTTGGGGTGGGTTTTGCCCTCAGAAAGAAAAGGACACCCGAAGCACTCTCAAAATCTTGGACGCCCCTCTTTAAACAGAATCTAAATGTTTCATATGCAAATAAACGGGGACTGGCTATCTTTCTCAGGTGGGTTTTCCTACGGAAAAAATAAGACACCCTTATTTTGGATACATGTAACGTGATTTCCTTCTGTCATTTCCCCTTGCGCAAAGAAACAAAACGAAAGGAAGGCCGCAGTGGACAAAGGGAGCGCCTTTCCTTCAAGGTTTCCACAACGTCGGAGTCTCTGGTGTGGGTGTCCTTCTAAGGTGGGTTTTGCTACAGAAAAAAGGAAGGACACCCGAAACACTGTAAAACCCTTGGACGCCGCTGTTTGAATATGATTCAAATATTTCATATTTGATAAAAGAAAGGGGACAGAAAATGAAACAAATTGTAAGGTTTCCAAAAATAGAGGTCTCCGGTGTGGGTGTCCTTTTCAGGTGGGTATTGCTGCAGAAAATGAGGAAAAGGACACCCTAATTTTGGATACATGCAACATCATGTCTTTCTTTTATTTCCTCTTGCGCAAAAAATGAGACGAAAGGAAGGCCCCAGCGGAGAAAGGGAGCGCCTTTCCTTCAAGGTTTCCAAAACATCGGAGTCTCCGGTGCGGGTGTCCCCTTAAGGTGGGTTTTGCTACAGAAACAGGAAGAAAAGGACACCCGAAACACTGTAAAAATCTTGGACACCCATCTTTAAAGTGACTTACATATTTCATTTCCAAATAAAAGGGTACAGAAAATCACACGAACGAAAGGTGGGAGTGGACAACCAAGCACCTTCTATTTCAAGGTTTCCAAACAATGGAGGTCTGCGGCGCGGGTGTCCTTTCAAGGCGGGTTTTGCTGCAGAACAAGGGCGAAAAGAACGCCCGAACCACTCTAAAAATCTTGGACGCCCCTCTTTAACTATGATTCACATATTTCATATTCAAAGAAAAGGGTACAGAATTAAAACAAACGAATGATGAGAGTGGACGAAGCACTTTTGCTCTCAAGGTTTCCAAAAGATAGGCGTCTCCGGTGTGGGTGTCCTTGAAAGGTGGGTTTTGCTACAGCAAAAAGCAGAAAAGGACACCCTAATTTTGGATACATGTAACATCATTTCCTTCTGTTATTTCCTTTTGCGCAAAGAAGTAAAACGAAAGAACTGCCACAGTGGAAAAAGGGAGCGCCTTTCCTTCAAGGTTTCCACAGCATCGGAGTCTCTGGTGTGGGTGTCCTTTGAAGGTGCGTTTTGCTACAGAAACAGGAAGAAAAGGACGCCCGAAACACTCTAAAAATCTTGGACGCCTCTCTTTAAATACGAATTGAATATTTCATATTTCAAGAAAGAATGGGGACAGACAATACAACGAACGAAAGGTGAGAGTGGACAAAGAAGCACCTTTCGTTCAAGGTTTCCAGAACTAGATGTCTCCGGTGTGGGTGTCCCTTTAAGGTAGGTTTTGCTACAGAAAACGGAAGAAAAGGACACCCGAAACACTCTAAAAATCTTGGACTCCCCTCAGTAAATACAAGTTCAATATTTCATATTTAAATTTAAATGAAGGGGGACAGAGAATACAACGAACGAAAGGTGAGAGTGGACCAAAAGAAGCACCTTGCTTTCAAGGTTTCCAACAAATAGGTGTCTGTGGTGTGGGTGGCCTTTTAAGGTGGGTTTGCTACCAAAAAAAGACAAGGACGCTCAATTTTGGATACATGTAACATCATTTCTTTAAAGTTGTTCCTGCCCTTGTTCGCTTTGTGTGCTATTTGCAGGACTTTTGCAGGGTGCCAAGCGGCCGGCAAATTTTGACCCCGCAAATGTTGTTCCTACTCTCTTCCGTTTTGTATGGTATTTGCAGGACTTTTGAAGGGTGCCAAAGGGATCCCGGCAATTGTTGACCGGCAAAGTTGTTCCTACCCTTTCCCGTTTGTGTGGTACTTGCAGGACTTTTGCAGGGTGCCAAGGGGATTCCGGCAAATCTTGACCCCGCAAATGTTGTTCCTACCCTCTTCCGTTGTGTGTGGTATTTGCAGGACTTTCTCAGGGTGCCAACGGGATCCCGACAAATTTTGACCGGCAAATTGTTCCTACCCTGCCCTGTGTTTGTGTGGTATTTGCAGGACTTTGCAGGGTGCCAAGGGGATCCCGGCAAAATTCGACCGGAAAATGTTGTTCCTACCCTTTCCCGTTTTGTATGGTATTTGCAGGACTTTTGAAGGGTGCCAAGGGGATCCCGGCAATTGTTGACCGGCAAATGTTGTTCCTACCTTG